TAATTCCTAAACAGCGTTCTGCTACCGCACGCGCCTGGAGCCAAGCAGGGCCCCGGCATAATCACGTGCGTACCATCATCCCGCCCCTGAGCGACTGCCACCATATCGTAGTGCGGCGTGTGAAAGAGAGCAGTCTGACCTTTGTGTCCGGTATCACTCCCAGCGGCCCGTGGACCGGGCAGTCGCCTTCCCACTCACGGTCGCATTCGTCACAGACTGGCGGTACAGACAGACACTGATGCAGAGCACCCGCACAGCACCACGTGGCTCCAATAAACTGTGCCAAATAGGTGGAAGTATCACGCAGCAGCCCAAAACTGTAGTGTAATGTTATACTCTGTCCCAGTTGTCAGCAAACTCTGCCCTGCTGACCAAGCCAGCAACGGAGTAGTAATTCATACACGGCAGTCTGTGCCTGGCCAGGAAGCAACTGTTTATTTCAGGGACACAGCCAGAACATACTCGAATGCTGCGCGTGACTGAAAACGAACTGACCATTTTCCTTTTAAAAGGGAGCGTGACGCACACCGTCGTCGCGCACCCTTTTGTGGAGCACCAGCGACTGCACAGGACAATCCGGGGTTCGAATCTACCCGCCCCTCCCCCCCACATGAGAACGGAGCAGACGCTAACCACTCGGCCAATACGCCCGTAGAAAAGAAACAGTGTATCGCATCACGTGCTCGGTAGTACGCATCATCGCCTTAAAATTTGGCAGTGTGTCAACGACCCGCCAGACCTACTCACAGATGTAGTCGTCATCGTCTAGATCCTTCCTCCTCCTTGTAGTTCACTTCCTTCCGATGACGCTTGTAGACCTCGCGCTCAGGCGGCTCTGAAGGGACACACCAAATTTTAGTGGACTGGGAACTGCTTGGCCTATGTCACGAATCAATTATTAATTTGCGATCAGGGTACGCATGTTGTACAAAGTTGGTCGCATAATGTACATCCATGCGTACGTCCACGTCGCATGGTACATATCCATGTGCGCAAATACTCTCCGACGCCGTGCTCTCTCATAACGTGAGTGCCACGTTTGGCGGATATCCGGTAGTGAACTGGGGATGCCAGATACCAAAGAGGGGCGCAGTGCCTGTTGGATGCCCCACCAGCCAAACAGGGGCAGAGCAATGACCCTCAATCTTCGTCACAGAAACTTTGCTTGCGTCACTGGGAGAACCCGTGATAAAACACCAAGTGTCATGTTATACATGACGGGCCAGACTCCAGACATTACGGTGGTTCCCCCTCCAACGTCTTCGGTGGTACGTTCAAAAACAGTGAGCACCCACCAGCAACTTTTCGCAGCCAAAAGTAGCCAACTAGCTGAATGAACATTGCGACACGCTCACTTTCACAATCACTGACACCCACCTTCACCCATGGCTCTGAACTCGCTGATGATGATGGTCCACAGCCGCTCTCCCTTGGTGTCGACGACATTCAGAGCTCTGGAACACGGCATGATTTTGCCATCAATGGTGGAACAAGTTCCACGAGGCTCCACGACTCCCCTTTGCGCCCGGCTACGCGGCGAGCCATAAAGGTTTTGGAGTTTTCCGGGCGGGGTTGGCCGGGACCGACAAACAACACGACCGTGCGCGAGTGCATTCGCCCAGAGAAGGGAAGGGGAAGGGTGTCTAGGGTAGTGTACTCGTCGACAGCCGGTTGAACGCGGGAACGGACTTTCTGACTTTCCACTGCGATTGCGTTTAAATTAGTCGTGGCAAAACGAGCGGGGAAAATTAGTGTGGTCACTGCCATTCGGGAGACGACGCGTTTCTGAGGCGGCTTGAAACGCAGCAGTTCCCTTCAGACTCGGTGTGACAGCCCTGGCTTAAAGACCTGCATTCAGTACATGTTTCCCGCGGTATTGCATTTCACCCGAACTACAAAATTCAAGTGTATGTGTTAAAATCGTGCATGTATACAACAAATGCCTGCCTAAAACCTCGAGAGCATTCTTCTGCAAAGCTGTGTACTCGTATGTCTACTGACTGAGAGAGCACTAAGCTATGGTCCTCCCTCCGCTCTATGGCGGAATCGGAGGAATGTGCCGCATGCAGACCCTCCCGATGCTATGCTACGTTCCGTCTTACTTGTACTGGTCCTCGACGGTGAAGCCGATGAAGTCGTGAGGCGGGGACGGGGGCCGACCGCGCTCCTCTCTCTCCGGTCGGTGAGCGGTGGAAGCCTCACCATCAGGCTTTTTCAATGTCGCCACAGGCGCTGCCTGAAATACGCGGGCCACCGTAACCAGTGACAGAATACGACCGAGGGAATGTTACTGAATAAGTTGGGGCATTGCTCGGCTAAATTGCGGTGCACGATACGATTGAGGGAACATTATTAAAGAAATGAGGGAATGATCCGGCTAAATGGTGGTGCAGGACATGAAAGTGAGGATATTTTCATGCCGACCGTGCAAACACCTCGGGGCAATAGAAAGGTCACTTTAAGCACAAAAGGCAGTTATACATAAATACAGTCACCACTGCCCCAACGAAAACGATGTCATTAAATAGCGAAACATGAAACGCACCCACCATCGCCGGAAAATAGTAAAGAGCAATCAACATCATAATAAACAAGTCATCGTCAGCACAAAGCCAGCAGCACAAAATAGCCTCACAAACCTCGACTCGAGCAGTTGCCGCCGCCGCCTTCTTCACCGGAGGGCGGAACTGGGCTCCCTTGGCGGCGCCCCGTCGGCTGGCGGAGCGGGCCCGCTGCCGTGCGGGCTGCACGCACCGGGACGGGCTCCAGCCGTCATCGCTGCCGGCCGAGCGGAGCCGCTTGGGCCGGGCCGGCCGCGGCTCCGGCGGTGCCGGCCGCGGCCGCATGAACTGTGGCGGCTGGCCGGCGATGCCTGGATCGGGAGTAACGTGAGCTCTTGTCATGCTGTGTGTGCGTAGGAAGTACACCATCAAATGCACTCGGTGCAAGTGATATGAGCCCCTGCCGATTCGCCAACACATACACTAAAGCAAAGGTGTAACAGCGGGGTGGTGAGCCTTTGTACGGGGATAACGTATGATGCGTGACGGAATCCTCACGTAAGTAAGATTTTGTTAGACGGTGAAGGACGCTAGGATTCTAGACGACTGATTGACATCACTTCAGAATATTCCCAAGATTTGACTTTGAATGATCCTACCATCGGCTCTTGCGTAGTCTAATACATTTAGTTCATGTCCTAAGGTCGCACTGCCATCTCCCGGCGAGCTTGAAGTACTGCAAGTGGGTGCAGGGATGGCAATTTTGCACGACTGGTTTGGCAACCGCTCAACGTCATACAAACGCTCCGTGACGCAATCAAATAATGACGCATTGAGGAGCATACTCATTAAATAACGGAACTGCGTTGTCTAGAGCAGTATTTCCGCTTAAAGGAAGTGCCCACGTTAGTATGGGATTTTAAATTGAAAAAGGTGTGGGGAATGGTATGGAAAAAAGGTGTGGCCTGAGGTCGGTGGCAGCGGCCGCGATAAAGGTCACTTGACGTTGGAGTGCAGGACGGACAGTGACGAGCATTACGGCATGTTAAGCTTTCGCTATCAACTTCCGCCGTTGTCCTGGAATCGCGCAATCGGATGGCAGGGCTGGGCTAGATCTGGGCTCATACAACAAACACTGCTTAGCGTGAACTTTGATCTTAGAAATCCATCCATTCAAAGGTCGAGATTAATGACAGCGCATTTTTAGGTATCCAATGAAAGCAGCACGTTTTTGGCCAAAGTCCCATTGAGCGCTGGTCGGTGCAACTCCTGATCCTGACAAAAAATTACTTGAAAAATGTGGTATGGCGCCAAACCGGGGCCAAAATTTTTCGCGCACTAATAGCATGTCACAGGAAATCTTAGCTTTAACAAAGAAGCACCATTTGGCAGGGGGATGGTGGGGGCCACTGTGGCCTGATTCAAAGACAAAATGGAAATTGGAGTGAGGTGTGTGATTTGGCCCGGTGGCTTTGCCTCCTCCCCCAAACCCGGCAGCTAGATCCGCTAACGCAGCCCAGTGTTTGCCCTCCCCCCCCCTCCCCACAGACACGTAAGGTTCTCGTATACAGTCATCTCTTATACAGTGCATCTACCAAAACTAGAACCCTCCCTACCCTCCCCAACATAACAACACAAAGTCAAAAAGAATTATGATCCGTTAACTTGAAGCACATCCTCGGGTTCATTGCTCACCAAGCTCCTGCAGCATTTCGAAGTTGGATTTTCTTTTCATAAAAACTTGCTTTTCGTAGTCACTGAGATGGACCCAGTCAACCTCCTCGAAGAAACATCGAATAGAACTAAAGTTTTCTTCCGCCATTGTAAGAACAGCAGAACACTATCTAAATTCAACACAACCGAACAAGAAAACTGCGAACAATGAACTCAGAAAGAAAATGTGAATACAACAACCATCAACGTAAAGCGCAATCTGCGTAAAATTCTACACCGGAGAAAACTTGATAATGGAAGACCCAGATCTTCGTCAGTACGAGGGCCGTAGATTAGGCTTACAACAGGCTAACCAATGATAAACTCGTGTCCTTTTTCACCGTCAGGCCCTCGACAGCTCTAGCTTCTGCGCTTCAACTGAACCCCTTCCGCTTCAACTGCTTGACGCGCACCCTGTTTTCCGTCTACGTCCCCAACCGACTCCCGTTACTTCTGCTGCTTCTGCTTCGAAATTTCCCGCCCTGTTGATATGGAAGTATTTGTGGTTGGGTGGATTTTGCTGTCTTAGTGCAAATTGTAAAATGAAAGCAAGATTTTAAATCCTTTCAAGGCTATTCAACGGGTTAAAATATTTTTGGTATGTCAAAATATTAAAAGAGCATTTGAACTGCTATTAAGTAAGAGCTCTTGTGGCGCCATTTGCGAGCAAAGGTAAGAGAGCAAAACCGCCACTCAGCTGATCGGTTTCGGTGGGGTTGTACCGCAGTAGTGACGAACGTGGAAGCCCTGGTTAGCGGGGTTGGTAGGGTGGGGCGTTTGCGATTTTGTGTGCATATATTTGTGGCGTATTGATAAGAAATTGGGCGTCTACGATCGTTGGTGCTCTTTCTGTCACAATAGAAGCCCACGTGACATATCCAGCGTTTTTTTCTTTTGAACTAGCTGTCACAGGAACTTTACAGTCTTCGATTTTGGAGCTGTAAGCATGATTTTCTGAGTAGGGGAGAGCGGAGCCCCCGTAAAACTTACCATTATAGAACCAAAGAAAAAGTCAAATTTGATTTGCTTGTATGTATGAGGTCATGGTGATTGGTCTCATATAGAAACACACACATGCACATGTGCCTCAGCAAAGATGGATATCCTGAGTTAGGGGGACAGCCTTGGTATCCCCCATACCACTCTGATCCTAAGTATATGAGCAGTACATGCCATATTGATGAAAAAATTGAGCCTTGCTGAATGGGTGCTAGAATTTTATGTATGGATAAAGTGCAAACTTGGCTGCTGTTAACCATAAAACAGCTTTTTTAATTTAACAAGTAACAGGGAAATAGTGTTGTTTTTATGAGATGTTATTTAGTGTGCTGTGATACAGCACAATTATTTTAGGTAGTGTCAGTGTTAGCATGCTTTTATGGTGTCACTGTTAAATGTGGTTCATCTTCAAATGAAAACTTTGTAGAGATAGTCCAGTATGGATTAATTGAAATAAAGTCAAGCTGTCTCACAAGAAAAAATGTCATACTGATAAGAAAATGTGTAATCTGAAATCCATGCATGTGCAAACATGAGCATGAACCCCAAAAATAGATATGGAGATAATTATCTTTTCACCATGTTGGCCTTCAAAATTAAAAACACCTGGGGTCCACATTATACACATCTGTTAGATGATGATGCATGGTCAGAATCAGCTTCAAAAGGCTTAAGTCCCTTTTGTGGAACATTTTCATCCTCAAAATGCCATATGCATGCCAATGTCTATTAAAAGAAGGTGTGCTGTTGCAAAGGTGCAATAATAGCATCAGATGCAATCTGTGTGTTGTGCTGTCCCTTCATGGCATCATTTCTCACATGGGTAGGCATGTTTTGTGGAGTTGAACATTGCAATAATTTTGTCTTTAAATAGAGGTGCCAAAATCTGGCAAGATGCATACATAAAAACAATAAAGCTAAGAGTGCATGGCAAGTATACTGCATTCTTCCATAGCTAGCAGAGCATCATGTGTGACCCTGTTGTGCAATCCAAACCATGATACCAAAAACAATACCAAATAAAAATGTAGCTGAAATAACCAAAATAGGCCATGACAAAGACCAGGCAGACATCTTAGATAAGATAGTGGTGGTAGCCTTATTCCTCAAGAGAAAACCCAGGAGACTGGAGATATAGATGGGTTGATATTTCAGTAACATGTCTTTATCAAAACAATAGCAGAGGCAAGTTCCAAATCACATGCCAATGGTACTAATCAATTTTAAAGCTTTTTTTAAAACAACAAGCCACAATTTTTCAGGACACCAACATTCAGGGGATTAAACAAAGAGCAATTTGCCAGCAATTACGGTGCCTATCTCTGTGATGCGGTGCCTATCTCAGCATTAGAGCACACAGACACACATGTATGTACAAACAAACTCAAGCAAATAGGCATAATGTATTCAAGCAAATAGGCATTTTGTGAAGATATCAGTGAAGTATTCATTGGAGATCACACACCATTGCCTCTTCATCAAGTGCAGCCTTGTTAGTGAGCATTAATCCAGCTGTATTGCCCTGCAGGTCATCCATTGCATCAAAAAGTGACTACTAAAGCAATGGAGAACTCAAGAGATTCTGCTGGAGACTGTAAAGATGGCCCATCTGTTGAGTACCTCAGCATGTCTGGAGATCCTGCTCAGGATAAGGTCGGTACTAATTCTGTCAGGTGTAGCACATAGAATCTGAAGATAGAATGTGATCATTTTAGTGTTATCTATTTGTTTCCAGGTACCAAAACTTTCTGCCATTCGGTTTCGACGATGTTGTGAATGTCATTGCCCTGAGCAATGAAGTACTGTAAGATGTGCTTGGCAGTTGTTACTATTGTCACTGATTATCACGAGTGAGGCTGCTGGGAAAGGAGTGGGCCCTCCTTGCACTGCGAAAGATATCGTTGTGGGCGCACTGCCCGCGCTTGCTGCTACACCTTATAGAGGCTGATATCTTTCCCATAACTAATCCAGGCTCAAATGGTTAACATGGGGGCTTTATGACGCACTCAGCTGCCGAGGCTATACGGCGGCGCCTACCTCTCACCATGGTGGGAATGGCAGGCCTCGGAGAAAGGGAATCCCGTCCCTCTGGTTCCCTAAACGCGCACTGGTTAACGCAGATGCATTGACCACTGCACGATCGGCACCCAAAATTCCACCCAAATTTCACCCAATTTTTGAAAGATGTCCTGCATAAATTGTTCGAGATTTCCGAGTGAGCTGTCGGCTCGGAGGAACTTCCCCGCGGTATGGCAATGGCAGCACGAGTTCACGTCCTCCCTGGATTAGTACGCGAAAAGGGAGAGTTCCCACTTGCGAAGCAGCTGGAGGATACAGAACGGAGTGGGGCCCAGATCCAGATCCAGATACAGATCCAGATCTCGACGACCCGACGTCGCAGCGTAATGAGACCAACATTCTGGCGGAGCTAAAACGGAAAATCGCGTCTTTAAAAACATGGGCAGGCTTGTGCAGACGGTCACACGCTCTGGTGCCCAAATCCCCAGCCCCACCGCACTGGGCGCTTCTTGGAATCTATGCCAAATCTCAGCAGCGGAAGAAGGTAGACGTGAAGCGAGCCGCGTGGTGTTGGCGATGGTACGGGCTACAGCTCGTGAACGGATCTCAAGGGCGTTCGGGACCGTTTGTTCGTCAGCAGTCGGCCCGGAAGCCTCCAGAGTCACCTTTTCCCAACCGAATTTGAATATGTGATGCTGTGGTTGTGTCGTAAGCTGAGCGTGTAGCAAAATGGGCTGTGGCCTGCACCGGGATTACGCCATGAAGCCTCACGGGCGTGTAGCCCTGCTTATTACGATATGCTCCCTAACGATTTTCGTTTTTGTAATACTTCTGTCAGAATGGGAAAGGGATTTTTTTGCGGATTTGTCAGTAATCTTGACTAAAATAACCGAGCTAATGCGTGCTAATAGTTGGTCATTTCCGTTATTCAACTGCTTGTTACTTGATATTCCTTTATGTTCATTGGCGGTTAGCAAATGGTACAAGCCGCCACAGGCATCCTATAAAATCGATTGATTTCAATTTCGAAGCCAGGTGCCTCGCCTGTCATGTAGGTTCATAGACAGAGCACATTAATCAGATGGTCGGAAGCACCAGCTTTCGTCATGCATAACAAATTTTTCCACCAAGTAATGTTCGCATTTAAATGTCATCTTTGTTTTTGGTTAGTTGAATTCCATATCTCTCCGCCCCCCCCCCCCCCCCCCATGTAATGTCTCCACCTCGCTGCAAAGCCTGGTAGCCCCTGCCGTCGCAGCCGCGCCCCAGACTCATTTGCGGATTACCTGCTCTAGCAGACGCTAGACCCGACCTCCTGGTGATATACGTTACCCGTTTCCTCAGAAGCGCTATATACTTATGAACAAAATGGCGTATATAACGCGAAGTTGTCTGGCATCTTCGAACTGCAGATTGCGCGGTCTCTGAAATCGTGCGCCAAGGTACGAACCCAAGAGCGCGCCAGGGGTGTGCCCGCTCCTTCCTGACCTTGACCTCTACCCTCCGGCAGATGCTGCTGCAGCCCTTCCAGTACATCTGCCAGATGCCGGGGAAGCAGATTCGCACCAAGCTGGCCCAGTCGTTCAACTACTGGATGAACATAGCGCCCGATAAGCTGGCGGAGATCGAGCAGATTGTGGAGATGCTACACAATGCAAGCCTGCTGTAAGTTGCTGACTTCATTGATTCAATGTTCAACTTCCTCGATTAACCGTAAATGTCCAAGCAAGGAGGAGAGGTCTGGTGTACAGCCAAAAACATGCAGGATGTGCAGAGGTCGTGTGGTTTGCCTTTTTGGGCGTTGTTTTCTCAGCACAAATCATGTGATTGTTCTGAGACGCATCTAGAATGATAACACTCACAAAGCACATGTCAGGTTAGCTATGCCACACTACGCCATTGAAATTGCTGCGGCTCGAGCTAATCACGTAAAGTGTGCTTCCTTTTTTTCTTTTTTTAGGTTGAGAAACGGCAGTTATGCCTACCGACTCGTGCTTTTCTGTCGCGCTTTCATCTAGTGCGTCATTAAAGTGAAATGGAACGTGCTGCCCAACATGGGCTGACCAGCGAACCACGAGATCCCTCCAAGTTCTGCGTAAATGAGCGTTTTTGTCATTGGTAGTAATGACATATTTACGTACCTGAACCTTCCATTCAAGTGGACAGGAGGGTCTTTAGTTGGCTTGGCTCTTTACCATCAAGAAGTCGCACCTCGGAGTCCCCCCGGCGCTTTGGTCCAGGGGCAATACCGGAGATTATCCGGTCCGAAATCGCGACTTAGTAGAGCGGACTTGTTTATCGTTCTGCCACGCATGCGCGTATAGTCGACACAAATCCAAAATCCAAAACAAAAATATCCAAAAAAATCCAAATTCCAAATCCAAAATCCAAAACACACCGCGCCCCATTCCCGGACCCGTGTGCTGTCCCAGGTTTCGTGTCTCCCGATGCTGACGTGCCCCGTATCTTCACCACACATCCGGTGCCTACGTGGCCCGCGCTTGAGGGCCCGCGGAGCCTGCATTTCATGTATTTTGACCTGTGCGGGGTTAAAATACATGAAATGCTGCATGCACCATCATAAACATCACCCGAGAAGGGGTTCGGCAGCGGGATGTGTTTTGTCTTTCTTTATTTTGTGTTCGGCGTTTTAAAACGAGCGTTCATCATGTACCCAGCAAAGTGTCATGTGATGCATACCTACATCACCAGTCGGCTAACGGCAGCCGTCGGCCAGTAGCACTGTTTTCGAAACCGCTCACTCTTTGAACAAGACCGAAAACTGGCTGATCATTCAGTCATGAAACAAAAGATTGTAGAGATCAGCATGATCAGATAGTACAGCTATGAAAGTCGGCAGGCTGGTGTACTGTTTTCTATTCTGTTCTGTTCTGTGTTCTGTGATATCCACCAAAGGATATTTTCGCTTTTTTTGTAAAAATTTGGCCACCGCCGCCGAAAATTGCAATCGCCACAGACTCATTGATATCGCCGCCGAAAACGCGCCTGGCCAAACCCATGGCCGGCCTGTTTCGGAGAATTGTGAGTTGTAAGTTGCGCACGAACGCCACAATTACGATCATCAGGCTACTGATGGATGTTAATATGTGGTTTTGTGGGTTTTTCAACCAACGCCCGCCGCTGCCACGTCCCGCAAGTTGGAGCGGAGCGGGCCTCTGATTGGTTGGAACCCAACTGTCACGCGAATTCGTACAGCGTTGTGGTTGGTGGAGCCGGGTGAGCTCAGCGCAGCGTGACCTGTTGCGAGGCCGGCCCGAGGGACGAGAGATGGGCGTCAAATGACCACCGCAGTCGGCGCGCCCGCAAACCCCAATAAACATCAAATTAGATGAATGGGTGACACAAGCGTTGGCACATTTGCTTCGCTGCACTCAGTGAGAAAACGTAGAATTTTGAGCTATCCATATTTAATTATCTATCTTTTGCAGTTTGATTGATGGTTTTAGCCGCTCTGGATGTCGAGATATGGTGCAAACGTAAAAAAAATTGGTGGTGGTCACTCAAGCTCACACAAAATGTCTGATAAGTGTGGTATTTCCCTCGATAAGTTTTCCGGTTCATCATACCAGGATTGGGAAAACTGGTTGGATGGTGACAAGCTGTTCGCCGACGTGGAGAAAAGGTCAACCGAAAGGAAAGTGAGCTTCATTCGCTTCTCCGTGGATGGAAACGTAAGGGCAGCACTCCGGCAGTCATACTTTCAGCCTTTGGAAGACATCGATGCAACTGCTAAGAAGGTTCTTGCTGAAGCCCCGGGCCAGCTGTCGGCTGCCAGAGACGTCGATGCCAGGCAGTATCGTGGAGATGTTCAAGACTATGTCCTACGCGTACTTGCGGGCGGACGCCATGCGTAACCCCATCCTAGTGAAGAAGCGCGTTCCAATGTCGTATTGCTCCACCTTCAACGAGCCATCCCGCCCGGCTCGCCCTCACCACCGCCTGTGCCGCCACGTCGCCACCGCCCAACTAGATGCCGACGCTGCCTCCGCCGCCCAACTTGCTGCCGCCGCCGCCCATCTCGCTGCCGGCTCCGTCCAGCCCGCTGCCGCCGCCGCCCAGGCCGTCGCCGCCCCCGCCCAGCTCGATGCTGCCACCCTTGTCGCCGCGGTCACCGCTGCTGGCTGGGTAGGAAGCGTTGCTGGCGCGCGGCGCGGCGGGTGGGTATCCGACGTCAAGTGAAGTTCCTCAGCCGGGGGTACGGTACACGCCGGTCACCATCAATGGCCGACACGTCTCAGCCATGGTCGACGGTGGTGTTGATGAGGTGGTCGTCCGACAGGACTGCTTGCCCCCAGATGTGCGCGTGCAACCTCCAGACAAGACAATCAGCCTTGCGGATGGGGGACTTGTCTGGGCATCATTGGTAAGACCACTGTGACAACGGCCTTGGGGTCATGCGTCCGCCTGGTCGACTGTCACGCGGCAAGCAAGTTGTTTGGTCAGCGCTTGCTGGGTGCCAAATATCTTGCCGAGGTAGCAGCGTGCTTGGACATGAAAAGAGGGCTGCTCGTTACACCAGTGGAGCTACTACAGCTACTACAGCTACTGCTGACGTGCCGCCCGGCTGGATCCATGTCACCCTGTGCTGGAGTAGTCTTGAAAGATCCTGCTATGATCCGAGCTTGGAGTGAAATGATCTGTCCTGGGTGAATCTGTTCTTTGTCCAATACTACGCTTTGTTCTTCGTTGGCTGGGTTGGAGGGGGGGGGGGGGGGGGGGGTGATCAAGAAGCTGGACATGCAGTCCAGAAGGAGGGGGAACCAAGGAGTACGTGAGTCACCACAGCCGCCTTAAGCCCTGCAAACCGCCGCCAGATCCAGCCGCTAGCTGTGGCCGACGTCAACACACGTCCGGGCGGTTTATTCTAAAGAGTGTTCTGACGACATATTGTGCTCCTGAGCGAGCTGGTTTTCCGTCCGATGTCCATTTTCAGGGAAAACACAGTTCGCTCCCAGCAGCACCTTCCCCGTGCCCCGTAAACCTACGCTTCCGGGATGCCTCATCGCCAACGCCGAGTGAGCCCTCGGATAGCTGGTTGGTTTGGTTTGTTTTGTTTTGTTTTTTTGTTTTGTTTTTGGATTAGAGCCCTTTCGACCAGGAATGATCATTTCAGGGCTATGGGATGAAGGGAAATGGTTGACGGTGGGGGTAGACTTGCAGTGCGCCAAGGGGGCCAACCGCCGAGCTTTTTACCCGCGCATGCGCGCTGAGTACCCGGTCATGATCCCCCTTCCCACGTGGCCCTTGGCCCACTCGTGGCTGACACATGCAGTCTGCCCCGGACAAGCGGGTTGTCGCAAGGATGCAGGATGAAGCAAGATAGAGGATAAGAGGGAAGGATGATGATGATGCTGATGCTGATGATGATGATGATGATGATGATGATGATGCTCCCGGGTAGACCAGTGTTCACTTGTGACGCAGCCTCCCGTATTGGGTGGTGTGACAGACGAGTTGGGTTTGGCCCCGCGCACGTACCACCGCTAACACTGAGCCACACTGAGCCACACTGAGCCACACAGGCCACTCGCCGAGCCATCTCCGCTGTCTGATCCGGTGCGTCGATCTGGGCGAGTGCGAAAGCAGCGACGTCCGTAGACAGTGGGTGGCACAGGTTGTTGTAGGCTTTCACACGACAGACGCATGCTTGTTGCTTTCTGCTGCGCTTGAGGAAATTCGTTGACGCTACTATGCTTTTTGCAACAGACTCGAACTGCATATTGTTCACTGGATTATGTGCCTTATTGTCGCTTGGCGTATTTTGTCATTGGTTGATGTCATGTGAGTTTTGAGTATTTGTAAACCCAGCGTGTGATATGAGTCGAGACTCGCGACACTACTAAGCTGTCGTGGCTGGTGGGCTTTTCAATTCATCGACCAAGCACACTGGCAAGGGTTTTGAAGGTTGTCTGTCCCTCGTCAGGTAAATCCCGGCTTTGTCCGGAAGGTGATACCGATGGCAATGATGATAATATTTACGATGCTATTGTAATAACGACGAAAATGATGGCGGTGGCGATGTCGCTTCGGTTGCCGTTATTCGATGAGAATGGTGGTGATGACGATGGCGGCGGTTGTGATGATGGTGATAGTGGCGATGGCGATGACGATGGCGATAGTGACGATGGCGATAGTGGCGATGATGATGATGACGATGGCGACGGTGATGACGTTGGCGATAGCGGCGATGATGGTAACGATGGCGATAGTGACGATGGTGACGACGGCGACGCATGTCGTCTGCGCCTCCTCAGGATTGACGACATCGAGGACCGGAGTATCTTGCGTCGCGGTATCCCGGTGGCCCACAGCATCTACGGCATGGCCAGCACCATCAACGCCGCCAACTACGTCTACTTCATGGGCCTGGAGCGGGCGCAGGCGCTTGGGCACCCCAAGGTTAGCTCCGCTTGGCGGGGACGGGGACGGGTGGGGTGGGGGGTTTGCGATTGGGATAATCTGTCATGTGAGGTTTGGCACGTGTTGGTGATTTGGTATGACTGGCTGCTGCGCCAATGAGAGGTGCAAACCTGCATGCAGGGAAAAGTGTGTATGTTTTAATATGTCATTTTCTGCCCGTGCTATATTGTAGAATTTGTCCTCCCATGAAGTGACGCAATTTTTTAAACTTTGAATGCAATTTGTTCTTGAAGTATGTTTTCATGCCTCACAAGTCCGGAGCCATTGAATCCGTGGCACTTGTCGAATCTTTTTTTGTCGGTGATGAACGGAACCCGAAGCGTGGACAGAACACAGGTAGCACTGCGTGGCCTTGTCCTCCCATAAGGAACGCTGCGTGGCCTTGTCCTCCCATAAGGAACACTGCAAGACCTTGCCCTCCCATAAGGAACATTGCGTGGCCTTGTCCTCCCACAATTAACACTGTGTGGCCTTATCCTCCTCCCTTATCCTCAGGATAAGGAGTACTGCGTGGCCTTGTCCTCTCATAAGTAACATTGCGTGGTCTTGTGCTCCCGCAAACGCTCTTCCCGGCCGAGCTAAAAACTTTGCAAAATTGCTGTCGTTTAAGGAGGGGGTTTTCCCTTAGCGAAATCTAGTTGCTAGACTCCTGGAACGTTTAGACCTTCAGACCTTTAGAAACAAATGGAAGTGGGCGTGGACTGTAGGCCCACTGTTGCGCTGACTGTTCCCTGCGGCAGAGCGAGCCCAATTATGCGCCTGGGGCGAAAGGCCCACAGCTCCGCCCACTGTGCCGCGCTGACGCGTGATGACGTCACGGATGACGTCACGGACGTCGGCAGGCGACCACGGTGTTCTGCGAGCAGCTGCTGGACCTGCATCGGGGACAGGGAATGGACATCTACTGGCGGGACAACTTCCACTGTCCCACCGAAGAGGAGTACAGGCAGATGACCATCCGCAGTGAGTGCCGCTCGGGAGGTGTGCGCGAGCAGTAGCTCGATAGTGAGCAGGAGGGCATTCTGTAACGGGACCAAGTGTATGATATGACTTGGATGGGGACTTGTGGTGACTGGGGTGGTGATTTGTGACTGGGGTGACTTGTGGTGACTTGGGTGTTGACTTGTGGTGACTTGATGCAGGTGGTGACTTGTGGTGGCCGAGTGTAGTGACTTTTGTGGTACTCGGGTAGTGCCGCTCGACAGTTAGCCGCGTTTGCTTCTGTTTCTTTCGATATCTCTCATGTGTCTCTTTCGGTGTCTCCGACTGCGGTGCCTTGCTTTCTCCTGTGATTGTCTCGATCCGTCAGCCTGGAGACCACGTCATGAGACAGGTGGCTAAAGAACGCGAAAGTTCTAAAATAAGATCATTTAGATTTAATCGGGTCTTCACACTCGCCCACCAATGAGCGTGTAGGAATCCGCCCGTATTTTCATACTCACCCACCAATAAGCTTGCAGGTATCCAAAAGTATGCTCACAAGTCGCCCACCAATGAGTGTGCAGGAATTTCACCCGTATGATCACGCTCATCCACCAGTGAGCGTGCAGGGATCTTCCCTGTGCTCACGGGCGGTGTACGTTGCTGTGGTATTTTGCGGATGTCAGTGTGGCTGCTGGAACAGGATTTGTGCATGACGAAATCTTGGACATATAGAATTATCTCTGAAATATGGTGTTTATGTAAAATGTGGTTTAAAAAAACCCGCACCCTGCACCCCCGCAACCCATACCCCACACCCTACAACTCAAAATCCACAGGCTGCATCCCACACCCGCAACCCACAACCCACAACCCACATCCTGTGTCCCATTTCTGCACCCCACACCCCGCACCCCGCATCCCGCACCCCGCACCCCGCACCCCGCACCCCGCACCCCGCACCCCGCACCCCGCGACCCGCAACCCGTTCCCAGAAAGCTGTTCCCTTCGCTCGGCATCCGCCAGTTACGCGTCGCTGAAAGGGGGTCGAACCGCCAAACGGCCCAATCGAGACAGCACGCGCCGGCGTCACTCGCCTGCGGCGGCAGCACCAAAGAGCCCCAGAAGGTCACCCCCATCAGGTCGCGGACGGGGAAGTCGTGGGCCGGCCAGCCCCTTCCGGCTGTTCGTGACGTGGTGGACGTGGACGTGACGTGACGTTAAACCTCGCGGCGGAAACCTTCCACCCTACGGTTGTGTGTGACGTTCAGTGGCGTGACGTTATGTGACGTCACGTTCGGTAACGTGACGTGTTGTGACTTGACGTTATGTGATATGACGTTCGGTGACGTGGCGGGACGTTATGTGACGTGACGCTATGTGATGTGACGTTCGGTGATGTGACTCGTCGTTTGGTGATGTGGCGTCATGTCACGTGACGTCATGTCACGTTCTGTGCCGTGACGTTCTGTGATGTAACGTTCTGTGATGTGACGTTCGGTGACGTGACGTGCGTGTGTCACCGCCAGAGACGGGTGGCCTGTTCGGGCTGGCCACCCGGCTGATGCAGCTGTTCTCCAGCTGCCAACACGACTTCAGCAAGCTCGCCTCCACGCTCGGCCTCTACTTCCAGATCCGGGACGACTACGCCAACCTGTGTTTGGAAGAGGTCAGTGACCCGCGCCGGCGGCCCCGTCCGACAGGGGGTCGGGGGCTCGTAGATGTGATGTGTGGTGGGCCATTGTGTGATGGTATGTGATGCCAAACCGTCATCAACATGAATTGAGATGAGACGACATAGTTTACTAATTATTGAAATGACAGCTTGCTACTAACAAAGACTTCGTAGAAATGCGTTCATGAAGAAAATATGGGGTTGGTGGACCGGATGCTCTCGTGCGTGAAATAAGACGACAGCTAGAGCAGCAACAACAGCTGCGTGCCACACGTAGAGGGATTCTGCCCTATTTCCAGTAGGAGCTGTGCAGTGCGTTAGGACGAGGTTCAACACACCGCGCAATCTCCAGCGACCTTATGATAAGGCACTGACAATGCTGTCGTCGAAAAGCAAAAAGGGCTGAGCGCGACCTGGCCAACTGCTTAGAGAAGGCCTAGATGCCTAGAAAAGTACATCTGTACATACTGTACATATTGTGAATGTGGATGTTTAAAAGCATTGTCTTTGTTTTTGTCTTTGTCTTCTGTCCAACTTGTCCAACTTTGTCTTTGCTTTGCAAGGTACAGTTTTTCGAGCTGCATCGAAGGGTATCGGTAACTTGATTGCCGAAAGATTGTGCGGGCCATTTGACCTTTTGGCAGAATGGCAGAATAGCTTTGCCTGCTACTCTATCTACCATACAGAAAGCAGCTTGAGTCACTTGAACATGACAAAGGCGCACTCTGACATGTCTGCCTCGAGAGCGCTAAGAGCGCCGCGCTACGCTAAATTCTTGAGAGCGCTACCTTATTTCTTGTCGCCCGGCAGTACGCGGAGAATAAGAGCTACGCCGAGGACCTTACAGAAGGAAAGTTCAACTTCCCCTGCATCCACGCCATCACCAGTCGGCCGGACGACACGCGCATCATCAGCATCATCAGGCAGCGCACCACCGACATCGAGGTTCGTAGCTGCGTAGGCGAGTCACCGGGGTTGTGAGTAGACAGGGCGTGGGCGAGGGTTCGATTCCCGGGATGAGCAAATCACATTTTGCGAGCGTTGTTTCGGATGTATAAGCAGTTTTTTTGACGGTGCGCGTGTTGCATTGTTATAACATACGTCGAGAATTGCGCAGACACTGTCATGTCTTGTTCAGCTGACCGCCTCAGGTTTTTTTCGCGTTCGTCATTTCTCCGTTGTCAGTAATATTCGCTCAGTGTCACCCATTACGATTCGCTGAAACTGAGATTGTTCAACGCTGGAAAGCGCGAAGAATGAATGAATGAATGAAATGAAATGAAAATATGAATCGCGGCAAGGCAAGACCCGGGTCCCGACTCCGCATCACCACCTGATTAACTGACCGCATTGTGCTGGATGGCTCAGGCTCGAGGTCCGTCTTTCAGTGTTACTTTGGTAAAATGCACTAATCAAGGACGCGTCTCGGACCTGCATATTTATGAATGTTTTAGAGCCGGTGCAGTGCATGACTAACTGCGCAGTCTTTACGACATAACTGACTCAATGCCATCGACACCGATCCCACGATAATTCTAATGGCATGTCATCATGTCCTATTGAGTTGGTGACAATTACTATAGAGTTATAATTCCGTCCCAGCGATTGTTAACGAATGAGGCCAACTTGTACCCCACGGCTCCAGCTGTCATCTTCTCTGACCTTGTGACCTGTCCTCCATAGCTTTTTTGATCTCTTGACCTGACATGCCCAGCACCTTCTCTGACCTCATGACCTGACGCCTGTCCTCCACAGCTCCTCTAGCTTTCTGACCTGACCTATACTGCTCCCTCTCTGACCTATGACCTGGCCTCGACAGCTCCTTATCTGACCTGACGCGACCCGGGCCCGGCCCTCTGCATCTCTTGAGTTCTGCCCGAACCTATGGACGTCATCGCATCCGTTGCACACGTCACCGCCCCGTACCGGCTAAAACCGGTTAAACTGCCTTGTTTTCTTCTCCCAGGTGAAAAAGTACTGCATCGTGCTGCTGAAGCAGTTCGGCTCCTTTGAATACACCTTGGAGACACTCAAGTGCTTAGATGCCGAGGCTCGTGACCAGATAAAGACGCTAGGTAAGGAATTCATGGGGAAGCGACGAGGTGGTGCACTCGTGTAAGGAAGGTCCGGGGTTCGAATCCAGGGCAGAGGTGATAAAACGTCACGCCAAGTGAAGTGCATAAAGTGCCACGTTTTTTCATCGACTCATCTGTAAAATACTGTGACGCGATTCATCTTGCGATTTGAGACTTGCTTTTGCCGCAAAGTTGCAACGTCATCGTGACGTCCACATCTGTCTGTACTTTTATTCGGGCCGCCATCACCGGCCTACTTTCTCTGCCCTCCCAGGTGGAAACCCCCAGCTGGAGATGGTGTTGAACTCCCTCAAGGTGTGGTGAACAGCGCGGGCCCAGAGGCGGCGCGCGGGCATCCGAGAGCGTCTTACGCCGGTGGTGGCCGGAGGAAGAGGTCCAGGAGGTCGAGGCAAAGCCTGCTGTCCTGGAGAAGAGGGCATTCCTTGATCAGCTACGGATCAGCTACCGTGATAGATGTTTGAGCCTGTTGCGTTAGTCCCTGGTGTTGGTTGACCTCAGCACGGCCGCGCTAAGAGCACGGTGCCATGTCGCTCGTTCAGTTCTCAGTGGTGTGTCAGCGACTTGATTTCCAGACCGTCAACGGATGTTTTATTTTTGTAAGGCAGGTTTCCTCTGGCCAGGCGTTAATCAGGGCTGCGCTTAGCGTGGTGTGAGTTAAACTATTGCAGTTCTTTTTCGCGGTCAGTGGCGATGTTTTGCTCCGTCTCTTACCTTGTTTTGACGTGCATACGACGATATTCCGTCCATGCTTGGGAAGACTTGGGCCGATGTCGCCCGGATCAGAGGCGAAGATTAGCTCGGTTACAGTTCCTGGTCCCCTTTCGTTGCCACAGAGCGAGGCGTCCGGTCTCTTAGCTAAGGGCGGTACGAGGGCGGTTCTCTTTGTGGGCCACGAACACGATGATTGGACGCAAAGACAGCGACCTGGCTCCTCCTAACTTGACATCCCCTCCCCTTCCCCCTCCCCCCTGCACAGGTGGGTACCATCGGCCAAAGCTGAACGTTTGCGATCACGGCGTGAATGATCACTGCATGATCACCAAATGATCGCTGTGCCGGCGTGGTTTGCCGCGGGAGACGAGTCCCCACACCGAGGCGGACCTGGACATTACGCCTGGAGGTGTTGCATGCGAAGAGCCGAATTCAAAACCACCGTGTCTCGCCAGCCTCTGACGCAATGCAGCCAGCGTCTGCGTTTCGTAGTCTGGTGAAATCGGCCCGCTTGATCTGAACACGGTTTCTCGCCATTGGCTAGTGGTACCGAGTGCAGCTGTCTGCCCATGACGTCACAGCCGCTTGATCAAAGCTCGGGTCTGTCCAAGGCTCCATCATACTAGCAGACAATGTAGCAGCGCTTGAAGACGTGCCGGGCGTGCCGTCATCGGTGCGCCGGGCTTGACGTCACGGGTGTACTGGGCGTGACGTCATTGGTGTACCCGGCGTGGCGTCATTGGTGTACCGGGCGTGACGGTATCGTTGCGCCGGGCGTGACGTTCATCGGTGTGCCGGGTGTGACGTCATCGGTGTGCCGGGTGTGACGTCATCGGTGTGCCGGGTGTGACGTCATCGGTGTGCCGGGTGTGACGTCATCGGTGTGCCGGGTGTGACGTCGTCGGTTCTCATTGGCAGGCTAGGAATGTTTTAGCAAGGGTACCAGCGCCTTTAAGGGTAGAGCTGGCGGCAAGAGCAAAGGGGTTGTGCGGGTATCGTGATTCCCCGCCATTTTGATCATCGCGCTGATGAAACGCGCTGAAACGCTCGCCGTGCCGTGGCGTTGAGGCATGTGATCTCGAGCAGTTGGGAGGTGCCAGGCTTCGCCCTGACGGTGGGAGGTATAGCTGAGTCGTGCCATTCCTGCCACGTCGGAGGGCTTCGACGCCATGTTTCCGCAGTCACATCGCACGGCGAAATCAATGACCACTACCTGTACGATTTCGTGGTGTGGGGTTGGCTTTCAGGTGTTGCTTTTGGAGTGTGTCATGGCAATGTCCGGCGCTTGTCATCGCCAGCTACCATGGCAAGCAATGTCCGGCGCTTGTCATCGCCAGCTACCATGGCAATGTCCGGCGCCTGTCATTGCCAACTGCTCTCTGCTTTGCCCACTTGGCATGGCATGGGCTTGGCTTGGCATGGCCGGACCAAAGGGAAGGAACCTAGGGGGTGTGGGCATATACCCTGGGTTGGGTTTGCGCGGATATTTCTCTAAGAGGGAGAAATTTGGCCCATAAAATGGCTTAGGGTTCCAAGAGCATATTAGTCAGCAAAGACATGAACGTGCCCCAGTATCCGACGCCTTGTGATAAATATTGTAGGAACTTGGCACAATGCAGGCATGGAGCATGATGCACACATTCACACATTATGTTCGTGGCGCCGTTTGCCGCCCTATGTCTGAAAGGTTTAATTGACCCTCCCCCCCCCCCCACGGAAAAATCCTGGATCCGCCTCTGACGGTTGTGAGTTACACGGTAGCATTGATTTCGCGGGTCTCACTGTGACATGTGGTGCCCGCGTGTTACCCCCGGCCTGATCGTGCGCCGTGAGTGGTGTTGGCTGTTGATGTATTTACTGAAATACATGTGTGCAATGATTTCATTGGGCTCTTCATGTCCGTTGTTTAGCTGCAAGAAGTGTTGATAAAATATGCGCAAGAAATTGCGCACAAGGCCCCATCGCGGCTTTTTCCGCTCTACACGTGTTATTTTCAGTTTTGCATAGCAATGTGAAGCAGAATTTGAAATGTGCTTCACTGTTCGCTGCGTCATCAACTCCGAGGGAGATGTCGATGACGTCATGTGGCTGCCGTGTCCACACGCAGGGGTGTGGTTTCCACAAGCATCGCTACGCTATGGGAAGTGAAGGCGTTTTCCGTGGCAGTTAAGTGGTCGAAGTTTCCGCCCACGAATCGCGACATTGTGGGTTCGGACAGCGTAGCTGTAGGATACCTTCCAAGCTGTAGCATATGGCTGCGCGCTAGAAGTCCACCGGTCCGCATCGGGACTGGCCCACAGGTGGTTGCGGCGGAGGAACAACGATCCGGAATGTCATGTGGACAGCGACGCCACTGACCAGGACAAAAATCCTATTGATAAATATATATTTATAATAAATATTTGTGGCAAGTGTATATTAGAGAGAGAGAGAGATACACATATTTATATTATATATATATATATATATATATATATATATATATATATATATATATATATATATATATGTGTGTGTGTGTGTGTGTGTGTGTGTGTGTAATTACTACTTTAATGTACAAATATTTATAATAAATGCCTATTCAATCTGTCCTGACGCGTCCGCCCGAACATTTCGCTGAAGCTTCTAGTTCATCAGTACCACTGCTCCAGCGGTTTAGTGCCGTTAGCTGCAGGATTAGGCTTGCGTTGTTGCCAGCAACCGTCATATCTGAGCAGACATTAAGGATATCAGCTGGTAGAGCGGTCAATCATATTTTTAGAAAGGTTTTGGCACGCACTGCCGCCCCTCCCCCCCCGCGGCCGCCTGAACGGGATCGGCTAGTTTCTAAATGCTTATAAGGGTGATTTCACGCACACGCGCACTGTTTTCTCAATCGTCGAATTTTATTTGCACGCAGGTAAAAATTGGGTAAGGCAGGAAGGCGTGTTTGTGATGCCGCTCGAATACGATTATGGAAGCGGGGGCTACAACACAGAGAGACGCCCACATGACATCGAGCGTGACCAGCGGGTAAAACCCCACACAGTATCGGGCGTGACCAGCGGATAAAACTCCACACAGTATCGAGCGTGACCAGCGGGTAAAACCCCGCACAATATGGGGCGTGACCAGCGGGTAAAACCCCACACAGTATCGGGCGTGACCAGCGGGTAAAACCCCACACAGTATCGGGCGTGACCAGCGGGTAAAACCCCACACAATATCGAGCGTGACCAGCGGATAAAACCCCACACAATATCGAGCGTGACCAGCGTGTAAACCCCCACACAATATCGAGCGTGACCAGCGTGTAAAACCCCACACAATATCGAGCGTGACCAGCGGTAAAACCCCACACAATATCGAGCGTGACCAGCGGGTAAAACCCCACACAGTATCGGGCGTGACCAGCGGGTAAAACCCCACACAATATCGAGCGTGACCAGCGGATAAAACCCACACAATATCGAGCGTGACCAGCGGTAAACCCCACACAATATCGAGCGTGACCAGCGGGTAAAACCCCACACAATATCGGGCGTGACCAGCGGGTAAAACCCCACACAATATCGAGCGTGACCAGCGTGTAAAACCCCACACAATATCGAGCGTGACCAGCGGGTAAAACCCCACACAGTATTGGGCGTGACCAGCGGGTAAAACTATTCACTCCTGGCAGCAACGCAAACGGTACCCCAGCATTTGTCTTTGGGTGGGCTTGGTGTCTTTGTGAAACAGCATTGAAGCAAATTCCCCTCCCCTCCCCCTGACGTGACGTCTCATGCATGAATGCATTCCTGTGCGGCGTACACTTTTGCTGGAATCTGGTTGGATTCGGAGTCTACCCTGATTGCGTTCAGGCAGAGTGGTATCGATTCCTTTGAAATTGTTTTGGGTCGGAGTCCTAGTTAAGTGACAAAAAAGTTGTCAGTGATTGAATGCCGATACAAGCATAGGGTGCATGGTTATGGGTTTGTGACATAAATATAAGTTTTATGGGAGACATTCATAGCTTTATGGGGCTATATCGAAGGGCAAACTAATTTATTTGCTTGCGCATCCAACTGCAGTCTGAAATGTGAGCTGTAACTGAGATATATGCGACATTGTAACAAAGATTTAGTATTCATGGGCGGAATAACATGCGATCTAATTAGCTATCATTGCCGGAATGGACTCCATGATAATCTACCAGATATCACACCACATATTTCCAAGAGCTGTAATGGAACTGCGGCTGAGTGTGACGCCGAGTTGCTCAATCCACAATCAGCCCTGTGTGTTGTGTCAGCTGGATTCGGAATCGTCCCGCTGACGTGGAAAGACCTCGATCCCAGCGGTCAGCATATCGCACACTGTGGACGCGACTGATCCGTGCCATCTGCCGCTTCCCTGAGTTTGCTTAGAAGCGATGGCCATTGTCAAGAAGGTGAGTGGCTACCAGACGTGTTGTTTCCTATCCGGTTAGGGGGTTCCAACTTGGATTCCCGTCCCCACGTTGTGGGAAGTGGGCCCAATCTTCGAGGAAACCTCTTTTGGCATATTTTAGGGGTAGGCTGGGTCATTTTTCACTCTTCGCCCCCCCCCCCCCCCACACACTCCCAACTCATGCTATGAAGCTACGCCCCCTGTTACTACCTTAGAGAATCCAAGAGGATCCATGAACCGCTTGTACCATGAACCCAACGTAACGCCATACCAAGACAGCTTGGTCAAGAAGACATGGTGGTCAACGCTATGGAGCACCTTTGACAAATCGATCGTCGTTACCGACGGTACAAGACCGTCGTCGGTGTTGGTGACCAGGCGTTCGACTGCGGCGAATGCGGCATCCTCGGTCGAGGTAGTGGTGCCGGTGTCGTCGGGGTACCCTGTACCCCGACGACGTCCTCTCAGGTACCCTGTGTACCTGTACCCACAGGTACCCTTAGCTGGACGCCACGATCGAGTACGGCATTTCCCTCTGCATGCCAATGCAGGGGCACTGGTATGGGTGTATGCTGCGCGACGGTAGTCGCGCCAGGGTCTAGCATCAGCTCCGACGGTGGCCCTGGTATGGTGTTTAGGGAAAGGTGGGGGCACGCTTTGAAAGTACTCGCCCTGGAGGTATCTTTGAGGTACTGTTCCAGTTTCTCACGATTGGCGTCTGTGGGAGCCATGGGTGGCGTCTGCGTAGGGGGCGGAGGGAGCTTACGGCGTAGGCGATCGTGCGCCGCGATCGATGTTCCGCTCGTGGCGACGATGCCCGGTGTTTTGGCTTTGCGAGTTGCCGTGGGTATAGACGGACCGTGGTGCTTCCCGCCGAAAGATGGAAAGTCCTGGGAGATGCTACCGAGGGGGGGGGGGGAGGGGACGCACGCCTCTCTGCTGGGGAAGAGCTTGTCTGATTGGTCTGGAAGAAACGCATGTTTGCATAATTGCTTAG